TACTAATACTAAATCTAATTTAATCTAACTAATATCCTAATCTAAATATAATTAAAAATAATATAAAACTTAAATAATTAATTCTTAAGAGCTATTTTTACTCTTATTAACTTAATATAGTATATAATATACTAAAACTATAAGTTATATATTAAACTATAGTAGATCTATATAAAAGAGTAGCTATTCTTAAGATATAGTATTTACTTAAGCTAATCTTAATTCTCTATAAGTATCTATAGTAGCTATAGATACTATAAGTAGCAGACTATATAATAAAATAATAAACTAAGTAGATATAGCTACTGGATTTATATTATTAAAAGTAGCTTTATTATTATAAGCAGGTTCTTAACTAATTAGAGGAATATATTATAAATATAGTTAGTAAATAGCTATATTAGATTATTTTAAATAATAGTTATTATTACTTTAAGAATTTTATTAGAAATATTAACTAGATTCTAAGAGATTAGAATATTTATATTAGATATTATAGCTATTTAAGGTTATACTAGTTATCTAGTAATTAATTAATTAAATAATTAATTAATTAAGTAATTAATTAATAGTATAATTTAATTAATTAATTAATTAAAATAAGCTTTAAAGTTCTAATAGAAATAAAAGATAGTTACTATTATTAGATAATAAGCTTCTCCTCTTAGGGGCTATAACTATAGCTGGACTATTTATATATCTAGCTATATAAATAGCTCCTATTATTAGAGTTTTTAAGATATTAATATCTATATCCAGACTAAAAGTATTTAATTTTAACTTTATTTTATAGTATTAAAGGTTTAGATATAAACTACTAATTATATTCTTTAAAAAAAAAAATTATATAATCTAGTTATATATTATCTAATCTTAGGATATATTCTTATTTATAGTAAAACTAATAAAAAAAAATATATATTATAATATTCTAAATCTTTTTATATTAAAAATATTTTTATTTAAATTTTTAATTTTAAAAGAAATATTATTTAATAAATTAGAATTTAAAAAATTAAATTTTAAAAAATTAGATTTTAAAATAAAAATAAATATTAAAATATTTAAATTATAAACTTTTATTCTATTTAATTTAATTTCTATAAATATTATTTAAATTTAGAAATTTTTAATTATTTAATTTTTAATTTTAATAATTTTAAAATCTAAAAGTTTATTAATTTTAAACTAAAAATTAAAATAATTAATATTATATTTAATCTTAAAAGTTTTATTTTTTATTTATATATTTTTTTAAAATAAAAAATAAAATTTATAATTTTTAATTATAAGAATATTAAATAATTAAAATTCTATTTATATTTAATTATTTAGTTTTTTTTAAACTCTTAATATTAATAATTTATAATAAAATATTAATAAATTATATTTTAATAATATAAAATCTATTATATAAACTATATTTAGTCTTTATTAGTATATAGTAACTTTATAATTAGCTATTATAATTTTCTTTAAATAATCTATAGTAGTATTAAATTAACTAATTTATTATATTCTAAATACTATTATATTAATCTTATTTAATTTAACTTTTCTATCTAATAAACTTTTTAATAATTTAATTTAATTTAATTTAATTCTCTTCTATCTAATATTACTAATTAAAATAGATATTAAATTTAAAGAGTTATTTTAGTCTGAATTAATTTAATCTAGTATATTACCTACTAGAATTATATATAGTAACTTAGATTATAATAGTAATTAAGTACTAGAGGAATATTATTATAATTCTCTATAAGTATATTAATAATTAGATCTATCTCTATATTATTACTAGCTATAAGAAGATAGAGTAATAGTTCTAGTAAGTATAACTACTAGGCCTATATAAGAGAGAGTAGTTTTATTACTATAAATAAACTTATAATAGATTATAAACTTAAATAATTAATATTTAAAAAGAGATTCTAATAGTTCTTATTAATAATAACTATTATATATATAAAAACCTAGTTACTTATAATAACTAGACCCTAGCTATAGGGAATAATAATATTAGAGATATCTATTATTATTATAAGGAGAGATAATTAGTAATAGTAATAATAAGCTTAGAGAGATATTATAGTTAATTATAGATAATAAGTATTCTCCTTTAGGGCCTATAGCTAAGTTATATACTTAGTAAGCTCTTCTTAGAGTTTTTAGAGAAACTATTATCTTATCTTAGTTTATATAAATAAAAAAGTAAAAAAAATAGAGTTAAAGATTAGATATAGATTAAAACTTAGTTAAAAATAAATTATATAGATCTAGTTATATATAGCCTGATCTTAGAATATTCCTTATATATAGTAAAAATCTTAAAAAAAAAAAAAAATAATATAAAATCTAAATTTAATAGAGATAATATTAAAAAAAAATATATATAGATATTAAGAAAAAACTAATATTTAAAAAAAAAATTATAAAATTATAAAATTAATTAATAAATATAATAATAATATTTATTAATTAATATTAGAATTAATTAATATAATTATATAAATATAAATTTTATTATTAATTATTTTATATATAGATATAAATAGATTATTTTAAAATAAAAATATAAATTTATTTTTTATAAGTTTTACTATAAATAAGAATATATTCTAAGATTAAATAATATATAATCTAATTATATAATTTTTTAAAAAATATAATTAATAATTTATATTTAAACTTTTAATATTATAAAATAAAATTAAAATTAAATACTTTTAGTTTAAATATAGATATTAATATTTTAAAAATTCTAATAATAGAAATAATTTATATAGATAGATATATAAATAATCCAGCTATAGCTATAACTTCTAAGAAAGAAAACTTATTATTTAATAACTATATCTATTTACTAAGCTTATTAATTATTAATTAATTACTAAATACTTTAAATAATAATAATTATAATAGCTATATCTAATATAAATATTCTAATCTTTTAAAATCTAGTTAATATTTCTAATAAAACTCTTTAAAAGATAATAATTATTATTAGAAATAATATAAAATAGTTATTTATTAATTATATTTATTATATACTACTTTAGTTAATTAAAAACCTACTTATAGTAATAAAACTACTTTTAATAATATAGATTAAATAGCTATATCTACTTAGTTTATTACTTTATTATATAATTTATCTAGAATTATAATAGATATTTATAAAGAATAGAAACTAATTAGAAAAAAAGCTATATTTTAAGAATAACTATCTACTTATATAAATCTATTATAATTTAATATATAATTTATAGTTTTAGTATATTATATACTATATTAAAATAATTAGAGTAAAAATAGTTTTTAAAAGTTAATTAAATTTATATTTTATTTTTAATTATTTAGTTTAGATTTAGATTAAAATATTAGATTAAACTAAATTAAAATATTAGAAAAATATTTATTATTAATTAGAAATAATAAAAATAAAAAGTTAATTATTTTTAAAATTATAAGTTAATTTATCTCTATAAGTATAATATATATTTACTACTATAGGAAATTTTTATTAGAAATAATATAGATTTAATATTAATTTAATATTTATTTATATATACTTAGTTATATTATATAATAATAAAAATATAATAATTTAAATATTTATATTTATCTAAATATAAAATTAAATATTAATTAAATATTTTATTATATCTAATATCTATTTTAAATATAAAATAAACTATCTAGAAATATCTAAAATACCCTTTAGATAAAACCTATTTAGATATCTAATAGGTTTGCCGATATCTAATTATATTACTAATATAACTTAATATACTGACTTCAGCAAAATAATCGATGATTTTAGACTTGGAAGAATTATTTCAAAAGCACGAAAAGGAGTTGAAAACGCGGCGTAGCCAGCCTTGCAGTAATTAGTCATCGAGGACCTACTCACAGGAGTGGCCATGGTGGTAGTATGATCTACGTTGACGAGAAGTAGAGGTCACAAACCCAGCTTCAAGTCACCCTCAGCCAGCACAAAGCCGGCTTCGAACCCCGGGACCAGAGTTTCATCCCGCAATCCAATACTGGTCCTTCGGAGAACACAGAAGAACAGCGATCAACATACAGATGATTACTCAATTTGCTGCAGCAGCCTATGGTTTCTGCGGAACGCTTGAGCTGGTAGCTTTAGCCGTCTGCCTCTCGGCTTACCGTTCATACCCTCTGTAAGAAAAACCTATGTCATCTTCGGGAACTACACCCACTGCTAAGATTGCATATTGATGAATGGAATAAACTCTCCAGGCAGAATTGCTTAGCTCTTTCCCACATTTGGGCAGGATGTGTCTTATGCCTTGTTATCAACATAGTGCCTCAATTTCGTCAGCTTTTTATCAGCAGATTATGGACACCGCTTGGTCTTCAACGGTTCCTCATGGGTTTGTTTTTAGGTTTCAGATTATCCGGACTGGGATTTCATATTTATCGCATATACTGGTGTGCTGGTGCGCCATCAGAGAGCGGAAGCGGGAGTGGGCTCATTTCCGTTGAACGATCCCTCCAAATCATCTCCAGTATTCTGATAGGATTTTTCTCGTTCATTTCACTAGTTTTCATGCGGTTTTGATCGTGGCATTTTATTTTATTTTTCAAATAATTGAGAATGCTGTCGCTGTGCCATAGACATGGGACTTTCGGGACTCAACGATGTCGACGCAGGGTGTTTCTCCTGATGAGGAAGCTTGATTGTGATCATAAAACAGGGTCGAGGTGTTTATTCGAACGTAAAGAGTAAATCGGCTTTGGGGAGTCATTGCCATAGGCAGCGAATTAGGATAGTGCTATACACGAAGCGTACATGAATAACACTGTAATTAGACAGTTTTCTCCATCTAGCCAAGTGCTAAAAGAAGCCAATAACATCTATACAGCTAATAGAATCTATCATCTATACTAAAAAAGAAGCTTTTATCTTCGTCGAGACTTCCTGAGCAATAGAATCCGGTACACGTCAACTATCGAGGAATTCTTCTATTCTAAGTGCTGATCACCATTTTCTTTCTTTCCCTCTCCTGCCTCCAGGACTGTCCCCATCTCCACTCGATCCAAATAAGAGGGGAAAATATAATAACCACCCCGGCCAAAATCAAAAACGAGTTTCGCAGCTTCATTGCATCAATCATGGGTTGGATGGCACTAACGCCAGCCGCACCCAGAAGACAACGGCAGAGGTTGTTGAGGGCAGTTGCACTTGCCGATCTGTCTGGAAAGCAATCAATCAACATGGTAGAGTTGACGTTGAAGATCGCCGTGGATGTGAAAGCGATGAAGAATTGCAGGATGAGAGGGGCGGCAAGGTTGGAAGACTGAAAGCGATGAATGTCGTTCAATTCAAAGCTGGGTCCATACAAAGCCATTGAAATTACAAAGGCGATGCTGAAATATGGTACCATGGGGAGCCGCGCGCGCTCAAAGGGGAATTCTCTATCCTTCTTGATGTTGACTGTGCTGACTCGTCGTTCTTTCTTATACTGTTCCTCAACGCTCTTGAAACTCCGATCCAACAGTCTTCCTGTAGAAAGAGACCCCAGAACACATCCTAAACCATTGGGTAGGAAGCAGAGGCCGATCTGCCATTGATTCAAGAATGGATACCCTCTTAGTAAAGCAGTCGTTGTTGAAGATGTCACCATGCTCCATGCCGTGTAGACAATAGCGCCCCAGGATAAGAGTGCGGCAATGTCTTTCTCGAAAATGTATCCTAGCGGGGCGAAGACCTCCTTAAGAGAAGGGCGTACTTTAGAGGGCTCAAGTGTCTGTTTGCTCTCAGTAGCCCATTCTTTGGGTGGCTGGATCCAATAGGTGAAAGGCTTCTTGAATCCAGAAAGGGGAATGCTCCCGTTTCCCGCGACAGTCCGTTGCGTCTCAGGTAGGAAGACTAGCAGACCGAGAAGTACCGAAATACTCATGCTAAAGAGGAGCCAAAAGATGCTTCGGAAATCCCAAGCACTATTGAGCGCACCGCCAATGATGGGTCCAATTGCCTGCCCAGTCATCCTTGAAATGTCTTGTTAGCGCATGCATGGAGCCACGGGATCAACGTAGACGTGAATCTCACCTAATTCCTGCATTTGTTCCCATGAAGCCCCCACGCTCATTCGGATCTGCAATATCGGAAATTACGCCAGCACTGATACTGATTGTGGCAGCAGACCCTGCAGCTTGCAGGCCTCGAAGCACCATTAGCATGGGATAATTGGAGGTGAATGCCAGAGCCAGGTTGGAAGCTGTGTACACGCTCAGCGTCAACACAAAGGCTAAACGCCGACCACCAGTGTCCGAAACGGCACCGAAAATGGAGGGGGCGATGCCCTGGACAACCATGTACACGGTTATGGTCAGTGCTACCAAGGACGCACTGACACCAAGTTCGGTAGCGATGGTATCGACGGCAGGAAAGTAGATATTTGACGAAAGAGGAGAGAAGGAACCAGCTAGAGAGACGAGGTAGACCAAGTTCCATTTTTGGCGTCTTGTGAAAATGTGGTAAGGGGGGCTGTCCGAGTTGCCACGAGAGGGCGGGAGCTGGGCTAAAAGGACAGCATCCCGTTCCTCATCAGTGAAGTATCCCGTGCCATTGCCAACAGTTATACTACTAGCAGCAGCAGAGGGTACAGCCGAAATCGATTGCAGTGGATGACTGCTAGTCTTCGGGAAATGGGTGAAGTTGACGTCCATCTTTCAATAATGATCTGGAAAATTGGGGTTTTTTGGTACTTATGGTATCTATTAGTTGAAGAGAAAAGCCTTTTGGCACAGGACTTCCACTTCCCTTATATACGAGAAAGTATTGCCGTTGTCTCAAGGTCAAACGTATCACCCTTAGTCTCTCACCCTGAGTGACATGACAGCTTCATCGTAAACTGCGAAGAAATCTCAGAAACAGGGATATACAACCGGCATGTGGTATCAAGTGCCGGTAGGGTTATCCGCGGCGGGCGAGGCGCAGGGGCCCGACGCGTAACAGCCGATCGCCGCTTTGCGTCTCGCAGCCGACAGACCAACGAGAGGCGAGCACGGCAGCCACATTCTGTATCTCTGGCGCGTATGAAACATGGATAGGTAACATTTAAATCATCAAATCTTCCAATCGCCCTGTAGGTCCTTTGCGCATGATGTGGGTCGAAAGCGAGGCTCAGTCCAGACCAACCACATTAGCGTACGACGACACAACCCGATGATTCATTTCGTGTTTGGCGTGTCCATATATCAAGCTCTCTAAGCATAACTCGTCACAGGGGTCCTCTTGCTTTTTCATATGACGGCTTCGACTATGTATACTAGTGATACCTACTCCTTTCGAGACGTGATGCAGGAAGCTAGTGCTCACAATTACGTGAACATTTTCTCGACTGCTACACCAGATTCATTCCCTCCTCGGAGCCTTTCGCATTTTGGAAGGAGCTTTGTCTTTCCTGTGGATAGTAGCTATGTTAGTAGCTATGTACGGAGGATTCCTCAGCTCAAATGCAGAAGCTGCCAGTTGTGTAACCCAACGGCATCGTACAGAACACGACGTGGTCCCATCATTGGGAATAATGAACAAGATAACAACGTAGCATTCGGCCTCAAGGAACATTCTTGAAGATTTCTAGCTACATAGAGGCTTCGTAGAAGATCTTCCATTCACAACTCACGTACCTACCATTACGAGTTAACACGGCAAGGGTCAACGCTCATAAGGAGCAATCTCCACCATCATAAGAAGGTTGTTATTAGGGGAAAAGCAAAAAGAAAAGCTCAAACAGATGCCCAACGCACTGCCC